CTCTCATGGGTCCCTGTACGGCCTCCCATTGCTGCTGTCTCCATCGCCACACTCTGCTCTGCCATGTGCCACTTTCAGGTCTCCTCACACTGCTGGTGTGTTCCATTTTTTGTCATAGGGTGCTGGCAGATTACGGGCCTCCCATTGCTGCTGCCAGGCCCCTAATCTGCCATGGGCCCCTAGTACCGCCTCCTCATGCTGCTGCTGCAGGTCCAGAGTCTCTCATGGGTCCCTGTACGGCCTCCCATTGCTGCTGCTGTCTCCATCGCCACACTCTGCCATGTGCCACTTTCAGGTCTCCTCACACTGCTGGTGTGTTCCATTTTTTGTCATAGGGTGCTGGCAGATTACGGGCCTCCCATAGCTGCTGCCAGGCCCCTAATCTGCCATGGGCCCCTGTACCGCCTCCTCATGCTGCTGCCAGGTCCAGAGTCTCTCATGGGTCCCTGTACGGCCTCCCATTGCTGCTGTCTCCATCGCCACACTCTGCCATGTGCCACTTTCAGGTCTCCTCACACACTGCTGGTGTGTTCCATTTTTTTGTCATAGGGTGCTGGCAGATTACGGGCCTCCCATAGCTGCTGCCAGGCCCCTAATCTGCCATGGGCCCCTATACCACCTCCTCATGCTGCTGCCAGGTCCAGAGTCTCTCATGGGTCCCTGTACGGCCTCCCATTGCTGCTGTCTCCATCGCCACACTCTGCCATGTGCCACTTTCAGGTCTCCTCACACACTGCTGGTGTGTTCCATTTTTTTGTCACATAGGGTGCTGGCAGATTACGGGCCTCCCATAGCTGCTGCCAGGCCCTAATCTGCCATGGGCCCCTATACCGCCTCCTCCTCATGCTGCTGCCAGGTCCAGAGTCTCTCATGGGTCCCTGTACGGCCTCCCATTGCTGCTGTCTCCATCGCCACACTCTGCCATGTGCCACTTTCAGGTCTCCTCACACTGCTGGTGTGTTCCATTTTTTTTGTCATAGGGTGCTGGCAGATTACGGGCCTCCCATAGCTGCTGCCAGGCCCCTAATCTGCCATGGGCCCCTATATACCCGCCTCCTCATGCTGCTGCCAAGTCCAGAGTCTCTCATGGGTCCCTGTACGGCCTCCCATTGCTGCTGTCTCCATCGCCACACTCTCTGCCATGTGCCACTTTCAGGTCTCCTCACACTGCTGGTGTGTTTCCATTTTTTGTCATAGGGTGCTGGCAGATTACGGGCCTCCCATAGCTGCTGCCAGGCCCCTAATCTGCCATGGGCCCCTATACCCGCCTCCTCATGCTGCTGCCAGGTCCAGAGTCTCTCATGGGTCCCTGTACGGCCTCCCATTGCTGCTGTCTCCCATCGCCACACTCTGCCATGTGCCACTTTCAGGTCTCCTCACACTGCTGCTGTGGTGTGTTTCCATTTTTTTGACATAGGGTGCTGGCAGATTACGGGCCTCCCATAGCTGCTGCCAGGCCCCTAATCTGCCATGGGCCCCTATATACCGCCTCCTCATGCTGCTGCCAGGTCCAGAGTCTCTCATGGGTCCCTGTACGGCCTCCCATTGCTGCTGTTCTCCATCGCCACACTCTGCCATGTGCCACTTTCAGGTCTCCTCACACACTGCTGGTGTGTTCCATTTTTTGTCATAGGGTGCTGGCAGATTACGGGCCTCCCATAGCTGCTGCCAGGCCCCTAATCTGCCATGGGCCCCTATACCGCCTCCTCATGCTGCTGCCAGGTCCAGAGTCTCTCATCATGGGTCCCTGTACGGCCTCCCATTGCTGCTGTCTCCATCGCCACACTCTGCCATGTGCCACTTTCAGGTCTCCTCACACTGCTGGGTGTGTGTTCCATTTTTTGACATAGGGTGCTGGCAGATTACGGGCCTCCCATAGCTGCTGCCAGGCCCCCTAATCTGCCATGGGCCCCTATACCGCCTCCTCATGCCCAGCTGCTGCTGTCCAGGTCAGAGTCTCTCATGGGTCCCTGTACGGCCTCCCATTGCTGCTGTCTCCCATCGCCACACTCTGCCATGTGCCACCACTTTCAGGTCTCCTCACACACTGCTGGTGTGTGTTCATTTTTTGTCATAGGGTGCTGGCAGATTACGGGCCTCCCATAGCTGCTGCCAGGCCCCTAATCTGCCATGGCCCCCTAACCGCCTCCTCATGCATGCCAGGTCCAGAGTCTCTCATGGGTCCCTGTACGCCTCCTCATTGCTGCTGCCTCCATCGCCACACACTCTGCCATGTGCCACTTTCAGGTCTCCTCACACACTGCTGGGAGGTGTTCTCAGTGTTTGAACATAGGGATGGGCAGATTACGGGCCTCCCATAGCTGCTCCCCTGAAAATCTGCCATGTTGACCCAACGGAAAGAACATGGTGTCTGCTCTCATCAAGGAAGGTTGTGCCATGCGCCATGCATGGCTCACACGTGTTCAATCTGGTCCCTGTCAAGCGGTTCCTAAAATCCACCATCCCTGCAAGACATCCTTAAAATGCCACGTAAACCTTGCATGTGCATTTCAGGTCCATCCTACACCGCAAAGCACACCCTCCTTGAGCTGCAGCGGCAGAACGGAATTCCACAGCATCGCCTGATCTGCGACGTTGCAACAAGGTGGAATTCAACCCTACATCATGGTAGACCCCCTTTACGAACAGCGAAAGGCCATCACCGATTTCATGATGTTACAAAGGGATAAAGGTACTCCCCTGTGTAACTTAGATGTCAGCCATTGGCAGCTCATGCGTGACACCTGCCGCTTGCTCATGCCCTTTGAGGAGGCCACGCTATTCGTGAGTCGGCAGGACTATGGGATGAACGACGTCATTCCTCTTTGCACGTCCTGGAACAAATGCAGTTAACAATGGCTGGTCAGGGTGCGGTAGCCGTGGCGCACAGATCTCAACGCCACATGGGCCCCTGTGGGGGCAGGACAGGCTGCCAAGAAGAAGAGGAGGTAGTAGGCCTCCCATTGCTGTGCTCCATCGAATTATTGAGTGAAATGGGTGGTTTTTCCACTCAGCGTGTTCCACAGGAGTGGAGGAGCAGGAGCATCCTGCCATAGAGGAGCCAGGTCCAGGTCCTCCCCTTAGGAGGAGGAGGAGGAGACAGAGGACCCAGACGCACCGTGGCAGTATGCTTGCTGTGGAGAGGAGGCTGGGCAGGGAGTCCCTCGCATTCCTTGGCACAAATGGCCCATAGCATGCTCGGTTGCTTGCGTAGCGACAGCCGAATAATAACCATCAGACAGAGGGATGACTTTTGGCTGTCCACCTTGTTGGACCCTTGCTACCCGTTCAAAAATGGTGGCCTTTTTCACACCTGCTGCTGATAGGGAGGCCAAAATAACGTACTATAAAAAAACCACCTATGTAGTCAGTTGGTCTCTGCCTTTGGCGCCAACGTCCATCCTCAGACACTGTGGGCCCTGTGCGCTCGCTTTCCGCTGCCATGGCAGCAAAGGAGGGGTCCCTGTACGTGGTAGGAGCAGTGCCCGCTCCACCAGCAGCGGCTGCCTCAGTCTGCAGTCGATGATGAGTAGCTTTCTTCACCAGTCGCAGTGAGGAAACTAGTAACCAGCCGCAGCAGCAGCAGCAGCATCAGCAGTGGACCTGGAGCAGGACCTCACAACAACAGGCTTGGGCCTACTTGGACAGCACCCAGCCAACCGAGGTGACAATCCCCTTGACTACTGGGCAACGAAACTTGACCTTTGGCCCCAACTAGCTGAATTTGCCCTTGAAAGGCACATGCCATGCCCATTTCAGTAGCGTGGCATCATGCTGCGCGTGTGTTTAGTGCGGCAGGGGGTGTAACTCCGCGGAGGACACGACTGTCCACCCAAAGTGCTGGAGAGAACTCCCTCACGTTTGTGAAAATGAATCAGGCGTGGATTAGTGCTGGATTTCAAACCACCAGTTCCTGACACAACTGACTGTAAATCCGCCATGAATCATGCCTCCATGCACTGTGCCATGTGCCACTTTCAGGTCTCCTCACACTGCTGGTGTGTTCAATTTTTTGTCATAGGGTGCTGGCAGATTACGGGCCTCCCATAGCTGCTGCCAGGCCCCTAATCTGCCATGGGCCCCTGTACGCCGCCTCCTCATGCTGCTGCCAGGTCCAGAGTCTCTCATGGGTCCCTGTACGGCCTCCCATTGCTGCTGTCTCCATCGCCATACTCTGCCATGTGCCACTTTCAGGTCTCCTCACACTGCTGGTGTGTTCCATTTTTTGTCATAGGGTGCTGGCAGATTACGGGCCTCCCATAGCTGCTGCCAGGCCCTAATCTGCCATGGGCCCCTGTACCGCCTCCTCTGCTGCTGCTCTCATGCCAGGTGGCCTCCACAGTGTCTCATGCCATGTGCCACTTTCAGGTCTCCTCACACTGCTGGTGTGTTTCCATTTTTTGTCATAGGGTGCTGGCAGATTACGGGCCTCCCATAGCTGCTGCCAGGCCCCTAATCTGCCATGGGCCCCTATACCACCTCCTCATGTTGCTGCTGCCAGGTCCAGAGTCTCTCATGGGTCCCTGTACGGCCTCCCATTGCTGCTGTCTCCATCGCCACACTCTGCCCATGTGCCACTTTCAGGTCTCCTCACACTGCTGGTGTGTTCCATTTTTTGTCATAGGGTGCTGTGCTGGCAGATTACGGGCCTCCCATTGCTGCTGCCAGGCCCCTAATCTGCCATGGGCCCCAGTACCGCCTCCTCATGCTGCTGCCAGGTCCACAGTCTCTCATGGGTCCCTGTACGGCCTCCCATTGCTGCTGTCTCCATCGCCACACTCTGCCATGTGCCACTTTCAGGTCTCCTCACACTGCTGGTGTGTTCCATTTTTTGTCATAGGGTGCTGGCAGATTACGGGCCTCCCATAGCTGCTGCCAGGCCCCTAATCTGCCATGGGCCCCTATACCGCCTCCTCATGTGCTGCTGCCAGGTCCAGCGTCTCTCATGGGTCCCTGTACGGCCTCCCATTGCTGCTGTCTCCATCGCCACACTCTGCCATGTGCCACTTTCAGGTCTCCTCACACTGCTGGTGTGTTCCATTTTTTGTCATAGGGTGCTGGCAGATTACGGGCCTCCCATTGCTGCTGCCAGGCCCGTAATCTGCCATGGGCCCCAGTACCGCCTCCTCATGCTGCTGCCAGGTCCACAGAGTCTCTCATGGGTCCCTGTACGGCCTCCCATTGCTGCTGTCTCCATCGCCACACTCTGCCATGTGCCACTTTCAGGTCTCCTCACACTGCTGGTGTGTTCCATTTTTTGTCATAGGGTGCTGGCAGATTACGGGCCTCCCATAGCTGCTGCCAGGCCCCTAATCTGCCATGGGCCCCTGTACCGCCTCCTCATGCTGCTGCCAGGTCCAGACAGTGTCTCATGGGTCCCTGTACGGCCTCCCATTGCTGCTGCTGTCTCCATCGCCACACTCTGCCATGTGTGCCACTTTCAGGTCTCCTCACACACTGCTGGTGTGTTCCATTTTTTTGTCATAGGGTGCTGGCAGATTACGGGCCTCCCATTGCTGCTGCCAGGCCCGTAATCTGCCATGGGCCCCCGTACCGACTCCTCATGCTGCTGCCAGGCCCGTAATCTGTCATGGGCCCCTGTTGTCGCTTGTTGGCATATTCCGCTCGTTCAGATGCTCCTTTTCCTGCTACTCCTCTTCACGGATTCCGTCAGCAGTCTTTCTTGGAATCCGTTTCCAAGAGACAACAGTTTGCGAGCACGCACCCGACGGTGCAGAAGCTGAACGTCCTCCTGTCCAAGTTGCTGCTGCCAGGCTCGTAATCTGTCATGCGCCCCTGTACCGCCTCCTCATGCTGCTGCCAGGTCCAGAGTGTGTCATGGGTCCCTGTACGGCCTCCCATTGCTGCTGCCAGGCCCGTAATCTGCCATGGGCCCCCGTACCAACTCCTCATGCTGCTGCTGCCAGGCCCGTAATCTGTCATGGGCCCCTGTACCGCCTCCTCATGCTGCTGCCAGGTCCAGAGTGTGTCATGGGTCCCTGTACGGCCTCCCATTGCTGCTGTCTCCATCGCCACACTCTGCCATGTGCCACTTTCAGGTCTCCTCACACTGCTGGTGGTTTCCATTTTTGTTATAGGGTGCTGTATGGCCTCCCATTGCTGCTGCCCTCCACCGCCACACTGTGGCTCTACACTCTGGTTTTGGCCCCGTGACTGCCCAAAATGAGTGAAGTGTGCGGTGATTCTAAGATCGACGGCACTCATCTGCATGTCATACTGACTGTCAGTATTATTTCTCTTCCCCAGCAGACTCCAAGGGCATTTAAATTAAAGGTACAGTGTTCTGCACTAATATAAAGGCTCTCTGAAGCCTAGAAACACCCTTTTATAAGTTAAATTCGCAGCGAATATATTCGACTCGAATCTAAATTTTTCCACAAATTCGCCGAATCAGTCGAATCGAATTTTTGAATACTTCGCTCATCTCTAAAAATGATGTAAAAGAGTTTAGGAACGGATGCTCCTTGGTGCAGTGCTTTTTGGTGGCTTTTTTCTATACCTTGTGACTTTGGAATTTTGCCTTTCATAGTTGCAAGTTACAATTTGCAAGTTAACATACCCATTGGTATTTATAACCTACAGTACCTTTGGTTCATATAGTTCTCAAGAGGTTACAAAGTCTGCAAAATTTTGATTATGCTAACTTACAACAGCTTTTAGCTGAAACCAAGCTGCCTACGTGTTCTATATTTTAATTTTCAAAAATATTCCTCAGGTCTCTTGCTCACACATTCCTATTTTACTTCATAATCAAAACTGCTAACATTAGCTGTTGGTTAAACCTCTGAATAGAGTTTACAGTAAAAAAAAAATGCCCTATTGTTATGCTTAGATTGCAACTGGTACCACCTGTGGCTTTGTGAGGCATGGCCCTATTTACATTTGACCCACTGGAATATCCTCCCTCTGCAACACAAAAGAAAACTTTCCTGACTATTCATTGGATACTGGAGTATTCCCCCTTTCTTATAAAGGCTTGGAAGGTAGAGAGAAGTAAGTAGGTGTTTAAAGAAGACCTGAAGATAACTTAGAATCAACGCTGTTTTCTACCTTGAGGTAAGCTTCACTTCATACTTTCTAATCAAAATCATTTTCTTCAGATAAGAGAAGATCATGGATACTTTTTCCCAATTTACATGACCCAAAACAAAGCACTATCTTGTGTTCCATTGCTGGTGAGAAAGTGCTTCCAGTTTTGGGCAATGTGGGAACTGGGTTAAACCTTCCAGATGAAATGAGGAGCATCAGAGTGGCCAGTCCTCTACTCTCAATGCTTTCAACTCAGTCAAAGCAGAGTACTTTACCTTGTTAGAAAAATCTCGGCTTTACCTTGTTTTTTAACATGTAAATGCCACCTTATTTGACCACGTGAGAAGCAGATTATCTGCAACCACAGCTATAACCCCTTTCCCTAACAACCATTTCAGACAAATAAACGCACAAAACTCCAAACAGAGCACTTTTCTGTGATGACGTATTGGAAGAGTGCAGTTCTGTTTGGAGTATTGTGTGACCAGACTTACTTGGATTGAATGGTCATGAAGTTCCTTGGAGAAAACTCAATTTCATTAAAACATTTCTCATGAAACCTAGGAATTGACATAAAAATCATCTAGGTTCTTGGTTTCACAATTGTGAACTATGTTTAGGGTTAGATAGCAATACTATTTCCAAGAGTTTTTTTTTTTTTGGTAGACTGGAGTGATCAAATTGAAATTTGCTTTTATCCCAGTGATTTTTATGTCTGCAGATAAGTCAAATGAAAGCTCATTCTTGTATGTTGGGATTTCACCGAGTGCTTTTTATTTGGTTGGTCTTAAAACTGTGAAAACTCATATTTTTTTAATTTTGGTTAAGTGATTTGAAACATATTTGGGAAGGAAGCAGGACTATTGATTTGCATAGCTAAATGTGTTTTATTTTCTAAACACTGTTTCTGATTCTTTTAAATCATTTTGAAACTAAACGATGTAAAAGAGTTTAGGAACTGATGCTCCTTGGTGCAGTGCTTTTTGGTGGCTTTTTTCTATACCCCGTGACTTTGGAATTTTGGCTTTTATAGTTGCAAGTTACAATTTGGAAGTTAACATACCCATTGGTATTTATAACCTACAGTACCATTGGTTCATATAGTTCTCAAGAAGTTTCAAAGCCTGCAAAATTTTGATTATGCTAACTTACCACAGCTTTTAGCTGAAACCAAGCTGCCTGAAGTATTCCCCCTTGCTTATAAAGGCTTGGAAGGAAGAGAGAAGTAAGTGTTTAAAGAAGACCTGAAGATAACTTAGAACCATCGCTGTTTTCTACATTGAGGTAAGCCTCACTTCATAATTTCTAATCAAAATAAGGAAGAAAAGGAAGGCGTTATACCTAATCCCCTCACATTGTAGAGTTCCTTTTATTTATATTTTACCAAAAATTTATAAAAGTCTGACTAAACCTCCAGGGAGACCCATTAATGGGATTGGATCCATACATTCAAGGGTTGGTGAATATGTAGATTTTTATCTACAGCCAATTGTCCAAGAGATGCCTTCATATTTAAAAGATAGCCAAGACATTATAGATCTATTGGAAGGGGTGGAGGTTTCCATTGACGTCAATTCCCTTTATACGAGTATTAAACATAGTGATAGTATAGAGGCCATAAAATGGGGTCTGAAGAACTTTACGGATTTGCATATCAAACAAGGAAAATTGATTTTGCAACTATTAGAATTTAGCATGAGTAAAAACTATTTTGGTACAAAGGGGAATATTATCAGCAGAAAAAGGGCGTTGCAATGGGCACCATATTTGCCCCCAGCTTGGCAAATTTTTTTTGGCAAAATGGGAAGACAAAGCTATATTTGGAAGAAAGTGGGAGGGTTTAAAAGTATGGAAGAGATACATAGATGACATCCTGCTTATATGGGAAGGTAGAGACACTAAATTTAAATATATTTTTGGATTTTATTAAAAGAAATGAATATGAGCTTGGTTTTACGTGTAATATTAGTACAGATTCAGCCAATTTTTTTAAATTTGAATATTTTTAAGTATGATACTAAATTATATTTTAAAACTTTTTTAAAGAAACTGATAGAAATGGATACATTCCTCTAATAGTTGTCACCATCCCCAATGGATTCAGGGAATTCACGAGAATAATGAGGAATTGTTCTAGATTAGTGGACTATATTTTACAATCTGAATTGATCAAAGAGAGATTTGTATCGAAATTATATGATCCGACTGAATTAGAAAAAACGAGATTTAAAGTCAGTCAAAACTATATGGGTGATGGAAAGATTAAGAAAATAAGATTATAAAGGATGAAGGTAGTAAAAAATCAGAATATGCATTCATTTAACTGTCAATTCAAGGTGGTGGAAAATATTTTTAGGAGATATTGGCCAATTTTAAAGAAAGGTACGATTTTAGGATCAGTATTACCTGAAAAACCACCATTTATTTATAGGAAAAGTAATAATTTAAGGAGTTTATTAGTTAAGGGTGTCATCTCACCTCTCAATAAGAAAGGCATGCGGATGTTTGACTTAAATGGGGTTTATCCCTGTAAAAAATGTACAAAAAATGTAAAATGTGTAAAGCTACAGGGATGATGAAAAGGAAGATTTCTAATTTTAGATCTTTTGTTACTGGAGGGGAATTGTAATACAAAGTACGTCACCTATCTGTTGGAGTGCCCCTGCCAATTTCAATATGTAGGGAGAACAAAAAGAAGTCTGAGTGCTAGACTTAAAGAACATGTAGCAAATACTAAAAAAGGTAAAAAGGACCACAGTGTGTCTAGGCATTTTAAGGAGTTTCATAATTCAGATCCTAGTATGATTACATTTTGTGGGATTGATATGGTTGATACACATTGGAGGGGTAGCAACAGAGTACAAAAGATATCACAGAATGAGACTTTTTGGATTTTTAGATTTAATACTTTGAAACCAAAAGGTTTGAATATCGAGTTAGATCTTAATTGTTTTATTTCAGATTTATGAGAGGGGATTATGGTATTTATTGGATTTATTGATAGAGAAGATTATGGGTTCTGGCTTTTAGTATATGGATTTTAATTATTGATTTTAATTATTTATTTATTGATATGAATATTACTAGTTTAATTTAGGCAGTATATTTACCAAAATATTTAGTTTAAATTTGGTATATTTAGTATTTATTTTAATATTTATTTTAATATTATTTTCCTATGCATTTAAATGTAATATTGGTATTTAAGTAGTATGGGTAGGTATACAAGATGGTTTTAGTTTAATATATTATACGTGTCGGAGGTACGATTTTAGACTTTAGCTGGATTAAATACTGATTTATTATTTATATAGGTTGACCAGTAGAGGGAGTCAGAATTACATTGAGTATAAGAGATTTTATATATATATATAATATATATATATATATATATTATATATATATATATATGTGTAGTGTTAATAAAAGGTTTTAATATATACATGAGAGAAGGTATACACTGAAGAATTAGAATACTGGAGTGCTTTTGTTTTATGAATATTATTTAGTATCTATATATTATGCTGTGGCGGTATATACTGGGTTGGAGAGGAGTTGTGAGGTATGTTAGTAAGTATCAGAATATATATGTTTATGTAGTATATTAGATGATTTATTAGGTGAATGTAATACTATGTGTTTGGGGTACAGATAAAATGGTATTGCAGTGCTCGTGTACGGATTGGCAATATACGTATTAATGTGGCCGTTTTTTCAATAAAGTAAGATCGCGGTTTGAGTTTTCTGTCCATGATGTGGGACAGGATATAAAGAACTGCCACTCAGATGCCTTGATCCCTTGTGAAAAAATCCAGGAAGTGACGAAACACATTGGCACATGTGACGTCTGATGCACTCACGTGGAAACCGGAAGTGCCGTCGTGGCCATTTTGAGAGTGGGAGCATGTTTTTTCCCTCACCAGAACAACACAATAGCTACTCTAGGTGCTGGAGAGAGATTTCCACTGGCTGATTTCTCCAATTTTAAATGTAAGATACTTAATAAATGTTTATACCTTTTGATATATATATACCGCTTAAGTCTCCTATTTTACCCTTATGAGGAATATGGAAGAGTGACCACAGAAGTGTTAGTAAGCCTGGAGAGAGTGATACTACTTACTGACTAAGGATATCCTGCATAGCCTGTCATTACTTGCTAAGGGTAATTATCCATTTGCACTAGTTGGAGGTGATCACAAATTTTTCACCATTTTGAGTTGGAGTGTTCACAATTATTGATTGGGTGATTATATTTACATTATTTATTTATTGATATATATATATATATATTTTTTTTTTTATTATTATTCATGTGTGATTAGAGTGTACACGATATGCAGTTTGCATGATACACTGTTTGTTCACACTTGTGTTTATGTATTTTGGTGTACTCAAATTTAGAAGGTAATACACTATTATAAGTTTATTTTCTCTTGAGGTTCACGGAGAATGTTAAGACTCTTGGAATTACCACACTGGATCATGAAAGAGTGACATTTTGAATCTGATTGGATTTTGGAAAGACACTTTATTAGAGATAGATTTTGGACATATAGTTTGGACATTATTTTTGGGACATTTTATTGGATGTTATTTATTGCATTTATTTTATTTATTTATTTTATTTATATATATTATATATTTTTTTATATTTTTATTTTTGTTTTTTATTTGTAATTTTTGATTATGTTGGCATTGGGATAGGAGTGATTTTCTTTATGTACTACTTTTGTTGCGATCTGCATAGACATCTGGGTCAGATGTCTTGCAAATCACAATGAAATCGGCAGGTCACCCAATTTTGAAATTGTGCAACTTTACTGTAAGCCCCTGTTCACATCAGGTGTGATTTGGCATGCGATTTGCATGCCAGGCGACTTGCAAATCACATGAAAAGTTGCACCCTCATGTCCACAATTACAGCGGTCAAATCGGTGCGGTTCTGACTTGGTCGGAGCTGCACTGATTTCTAAAGTAGTACATGCACTTGAAATCGGTATGTCCAATTACTTTGAAATCATGCGACTTCACTGTAAGTCGCACAATTTCAAAGTTGGGCTTGCTTTGACCGGGGTATAAGCCGCATGATTTCAAAATTGGCTATGATGTGACTGGGGTCTAAGGGCTGGTTCACACTGGATGCGACTTGACATGCACTCTGCCCCTTTTGGGAAGGGTTTGTCAAGTCAAGAGCTGAGATTCCAAAGAAAGAGAGTGTGACATAAATGTAAAGATTTAAGTAGCTGAAATGTGATCTGTAGAAAGATGACAATGTAGATTTAGCATTCCATGTTAATATAAGATGTGTTCAGAATTAAGTCAGAGACATATGGTCACCAATTAGCATCTGAAGGGACAGCGCTTCCTCTACACTGGAGGTGACACCTAGATGCCAATAAGATTTGTCACCTACTTCTAGATATTTCGGCTTCAGAGGCAGCGGGAAACCAAGAAAGGGCTCCGATCTGTCTAGGAGATCTAAAGTATATCAGCAGATCAAAGGAATATATTTAATCTCTCATAAAAGCTAAAATATTAGTTGCAGAGAGATGAAAATACTTCCTTCTGATTGGACACACTGTAGGCTACACCTGCATGTAAAACTGTATTTGTAGCCTATGTAGCAACCCAGAGAAAAGCAGAAAATGGTTATATGGAGCCTGATTGTGACAGCTGAACATTGATTGGTACTGTCACGATCAGACTGATGCGCTGGTGTCAGAAATTCAATCCCTGACTTGGTGATTCAAACTGTTCCTGGTCCAATCGACTTTGGGCATTTCAGTACCCAGAACGTCCTGTGGGCTGGTACAGGAACACCCCCCAGAGTCCAGCCTACGTCCATATTCCCATAAATTGAGGACCTGGGATATGGACGGTGTGATTCATATGGAGCCAGTTCTATTGACTGACGGATTACGGACTTTCTCTGACTTGCTCCAGTCGCAGGATAACTCTTGGTAAAAGTTTTATTTCTGTTTTATACCCTTTTATTTTATAGTCAATAGCCAATTGTGTGTCTTCTTGTATTTTCTGTAACTTTTTATACTTTGTACATATTTTATACACTGCCCACTTTCGGGATATTAAATCATAAAATTATGAAAGTGACTTCTGGGTACTTAAGCTCGGGCTCATATCTCTGGAGAGATTGTATTGTATTATATTGTATTGTATTGCAGTGTCTTTATATGCTTGGTCAAGTTCATTGCCAATCTGTATGCAATTGCACGGCGTGTTGGCAGATTGCATGCAGATTGTAAAGGTAACAGATCTGCCAGACGGAGATCTGTATGTGGTGGACAGCAGGCCAGTCTGCGGATAAAACTGTTGGGTGGTGGCACGTGGCACACTACCGTTTGTTGTGTGTCTGGTGCGGGGGGAGTGTGGACAGTGGAAGAGTGATTAACACCGGGGTTCTAGCTTGTAGGATAGCTGGAGGAATCCTAGAAAGGTGTGCCGATTGCTAGGCTGCTCCTCAACCCTTAGAGTGCACCAGATTGTATATAAGATTTGTATCTGCCTGTGTGTGGTCGGCTAGCTAGCTGGATTGGGATGGAGTCTCCCTCTAGTGGTGGCCAGAGGTAGTGTGGGCTGTGAAAGTATATCGTGGCTGGTCTTATATATATTCAGATTAAGTCCCCCTTATTCCCTCTTACCCCAAGTCACGGCGGCACGTGTGCGCCACGGTTAGCTAGTCGCTGTGGGCGTGTGGGTGTGAGGTGGATTCGTGACAGAGAGTAAGAGATTGTGAGTGAGGGGGGAGTGACCTTTGGGCTAAATCACACAATGGGCACAATTCACTACACGGTATCTTACCGCATCCAAATATAAAACCGCTACTAAAATACTGCACAAGTTAGTTTATCAAGGCATGCAGTATTTTAGTAGTGAAAAGCATGTGTTCATATTTCAGTTGTTAGCGGAGTTCCCCACTTACAGCTGAATGTAAAAGAAAGAATTGCCAGCAATAAAAAAAATATTTTAAAAAAAATGGTGTGGAGTCCCCCCTTCTATCCATACCAAGCCCTTTGGGTCTGGTATGGATTTTGAGGGGAAGCCCCATGCCAAAATTAATTTTAAAAATGGCCTGGGGGTTCCCCAAAATCCATACCAGATCCTTATCCAAGTATGCAGCCCGGCAGGTCAGGAAAGGGGGGATGAGTGAGCGCCCCCCCCATTCTGAACCATACCAGGCCACATACCCTCAATATGGGGGGGGTGTCAAAGCACCTTGTCCCCATGTTGATGGGGACAAGGTCCTCTTCCCCACAATCCTAGGCTGTGGTTGTAGGGGTCTGCGGGCGGGGGGCTTATCAGAATCTGGAAGCCCCCTTTAGAAACTCAGTTGACAGGCCCAATTGCCATCTTCTAGAGGACTCCACACAGAGATTTACTAGTAGCCTCCCTAGCGGTCTGATTATGTCAGTATTTCTGTGCTCAAAGCGGTACATTTTTTTGCATGGAAATATGTAGTTTTTTTTATTGTAGGCCTGTAATTTTTAGGAATCACTCACTGAAATCTGCCCGAACAAGAGTCTAGTAAACATCCCGGGTATGTTAAAATTTGAAACACGAAATCATAAATTATAATTTAATAAATAATCATAAAAAATAATAATATAATAATAAATTTAATTCAATAATATAATCAAACCAAAAACACTGAAATTTGAAATATTAGCGCCAAGTTCGCACATCACTGAGCAAAGGCGCAAAATCGTTTTCAGTGTCTGATGACGAATTTCTCCACGAATCATTATCACTCAATTCTGCAAGTAGTTCTAATTTACTATCGCTGTTCTCTAGCTGGTCTAAAACCGATTTTGACCTAAAGGGATGCTTTTTGGACGCCATGGACATTTCTCAGTTTTAAGGCAGAAAGAACAGTAAAAATGCAGGCAGGGAACAGGACAAAGCACTAGGGACAAAATGTGTGTGAAATGGTTTGATACAGTAATGTTTTACTATGTTATTTTAGTGTATTTAGTGACTGTCACTTTTTGACATTTTTAAATTTCCCGCCAGTTCCGTCCCCGTACGTTCTGACGTCGCAGGGAACGGAACCCAGAAGACAGATGCTGGCATCGGCCAGAGGACATTGCCAGAGACGCTGCAGGGGGGACATCGCGGGAGCAAAGGACAAGGTAAGTGACGAAGTGATCCCAGAGCAATGCTGCAGGGTATTCCTGAGTGTAGCTCAGGGTTACCGCTTGTGGTGCTGAAACTTTACCTCGAGCTAAACTCGGGAATACCGCCAGGGAGGTTAAACATCTAAAAGAAAAGTGGCCACAGTAGACAGTTAAATTTTGTTCTGCATATGCGCATTTCTATCAGTGCATAGACGTTGGAAAGGTGTCTATTTTGTGACAATAATGAATTCCCTAAAAAAATTAATTTTTTCCCCCACTGAAAACATTTTTTAAAAGGAATATATTCTTTAAAGTGAAGTCCAGATATTTGGGAAAGCAAATTTCCATGTGAACATGTTTCTACAGTGATTTTTCATTCCTTTAGATGTGCTTCTAAGACGTCTGTGTCCATTAGTAAATTCGATTTTGTGTCTATTTGTTAGACTCTTTCTTTAGTAAATGTCTTTGCCATCTAAAAGTAGATGGATTCCAATGAAAAGTAGACTTTAGCCTACGGAAATGCACCTAGATGCTATTTATACACTTTAGTAAATCAGGGCCTATGAGTTCGCTCTTGATAGTGAAAAAGAAACGCTCGCCTAGCCATCTGCAGCTCCACCATTGAGGCAGCAGAGGGCAGATCAGCATAATTTTGAGTGCATTTACGTTCCATATCCTGAAGGGTCTGAGTAGTCTGGTTATATTCAACTTTAGCAGCCTTAAAAGCTGAAATGTAGGCCCTTCCAGTGGCAGCCTTAAAAGCATCCCACATCATTGGCAGGGTAGCAGTGCCCTCGTTAAGCTCCCAGAACTCCTGGAGGCTAGGGGTGGTTGTGGATTCCACCGAGGGATCTGCCACCCAGCCAGCATGTAACCACCTGTCAGGAATGGACTTGCCAGTGGTGGTGGGACTCACCTGCCTTGTGGGCTGCAGTACCAGGGATGGCCAGCGGGTGCTCTCAGCAACCAGAGGCTCACTCCTGCAATGAGCCATCACCTGAGGCCGATTACAGCAGGTGTATTTAAGGAATGGCCAGGCCTGTGATCAGGGCCTTGGTGTATGTTTCCCATGAGCCCCTGTACCTGCATCCTGTGTGCCTGTTCCTGATTCTGCTTTAATCCTGACTCTGCATGAAATCTGCCTGTCCTGACCTCGGCTATTCCTGACTACGCTTCCATCTGCTCCTTGTACCCGGCCTGCCCGACTACGTTTAGTATTGTTCTTATTGTTATCTGTTGGAGGTTTGGTTGCACTGTGTTTATGTTTAGTCTTGCACTGCATTTATGTACTGTTTAGTCTTTAATAAATTGTATTGTTTATACTATACCTTGAGCCTGTGTTTCCCTGTGTCAGTGCACACATTTCTGGTCATACCCGGATCCCTAACAGAACACCAAGGCCATTCCTGACCAGAAGTGGCTGCACAGGGAAACCATCTTGGCTTATTGTTGCTGGGAAGGATGCATCTTGATGAGGTGGTGTATTTGTCTCTGCTAGTCTTTGATGACAGAGATTATGCTTATCAGACTCTGCAGGAGTATACCAGGGATCAACTACTAGAATGCATAAGGATCGCTCATTGCCTAGTAGATCAGGGCACAGAGTTCTCTGAGGTGCAACCATTGATTCAGATTTGTGCAGAGTTGGCTTCATCTGGTACCCCCGAATGCAAGGATAAATTTTTGCCGCCATTTAGTACCGACCAGGTAGAGTCCCTGGTGTGGTTATTGGAGGATGATGTGGATTACTTCTTGGAGCGTTATTCTGCATGTTCACAACAGGTGCTAAGAGATTGTATAAACGCAGTGCAGTCTTTGACCAGACAGGCTTTGTGTAAGCTGAGCTTTGTCCAACCCATACTGCAGACAAGGTCAGACTTGTTGCACCCAGCCTCAGTCAGCTTGCAACGTCATTCCTCTGCTCAAGGCACTCTTCCTGCATCCCTACAGCACCCGCAGTGACGGCCCAGTATACTCTAACTACCACATATCAGTCCCCTGCTCCCACTCGCTGCACCTATCCTATCTTTAACCCTGTAAAGAAGTCCTCTGTAGCAACTGCTCCCTCCTTTGTTCCATCCCTCAGCTCTTCTCTGCCTACAGCTGCTCTATCCACTTACAAATCTGCGCTTACTTCCTGCGCTCCAGTAACCAAAACCAGGAAAAAGCAAAAATTCTTTCCAGCTAATACCATCCTGCCAGTATCCAAACCGGTCAGCCTGCCGTCTGAGAACCTGCCTTCCGTGGTTCAGCCTGATACCCTAATGTCCGATGACCCAGTGTACCCTACCCAGCTTGATGTGTCTACCCAGCCTGATGGTCCTTTTATGCCAGATGACTCAGTACCCGCTGTCGATCCAGATGACCTGATGCCAGATGACCTGATGCCCGCTGTCAAGCTAGATGATCCAATGCCTGATGACCCAGTGCCCGCTGTCGAACCAGATGACCCAGTACCCGCTGTCAAGCCAGATGACCTGATGCCCACTGTCGAGCCAGATTACCCGAAGCCTGATGACCCAGTGCCTGCTGTCGTGCCTGGGGATCTGATGCCCGCTGTCGAGCCAGATGACCCAGTGCCCGCTGTCGGACCAGACGATCCAATGCCTGATGACCCGGTGCCCGCTGTCTTGCCAGATAACTCGGAGCCCGCTGTCGTGCCTGGTGACTCGGTGCCCGCTGTCTTGCCAGATGACTCGGAGCCAGCTGTCGTGCCAGATGACTTGGTGCCCGCTGTCTTGCCAGATGACTCGTGCCCATGGTCTTGCCAGATGATTCGGTGCCCGCTGTCGTGCCAGATGACCAGATCTCGGTGCCCTCTGTCGTGCCAGATGACTCGGTGCCCGCTGTCGAGCTTGGTGACCCGGTGCCCGCGGTTCTGCTAGATGACTCGGTGCCCGCTGTCAAGCTTGGTGACCCAGTGCCCGCGGTTCTGCTAGATGGCTCAGTGCCCGCTGTCCTGCCAGATGACTCGGTGCCCACTGTCGAGCTTGGTGATCCAGTGCCCGCGGTCCTGCCAGATGACTCGGTGCCCGCTGTCGAGCTTGGTGACTCAGTGCCCACGGTTCTGCCAGATGACTCGGTGCCCGGTGCTCCGCCTGATGGCCCGGTGCCCGCTGCTCCACCTGGTGGTCCGGTGCCCGCTGCCTTGCCTGCTGCTCCGCCTGATGGCCCGATGCCCGGTGCCCCGCCTGATGGACCCGTGCTTGCTGCTCCGCCTGATGGCCCGGTGCCCGCGGTTCTGCCAGATGACTCTGTGCCCGCTGCTCTGCCTGATGGCCCAGTGGCCGCTGCTCCGCCTGATGGCCCGCTGCCCAGCCTGACGTGTCTCTGCCTGCTGTCCCACCTTATGTGCCTCTGCCTGCTGCCCAGCCTGACGTACCAGCTCCTGATGCCCAGCCTGCTTCTGGAAATCCTGTGTCCAGCAATCTGCCTTCCTGCAGTCTCCTACAAAAAGATAGGCCTATCAGCAGGAGACCCAGCCAATCGCTTGATTCCGGCAGTGGGATGTCCAGCCAGTTGCCGGACCCAGGCGGTGGAACATTTGGGCCATTACGGACTGTTTGGAGCGTCCTGAGGCCACTCCTTGAGGGGGGGGTACTGTCAGGAATGGACTTGCCAGTGGTGGTGGGACTCACCTGCCTTGTGGGCTGCAGTAACAGGGATGGCCAGCGGGTGCTCTCAGCAATCAGAGGCTCACTCCTGCAATGAGCCATCACCTGAGGCTGATTACAGCAGGTGTATTTAAGGAATGGCCAGGCGTGTGATCAGGGCCTTGGTGTATGTTTCCCATGAGCCCCTGTACCTGCATCCTGTCTGCTTCCTGCCTGATCCTGATTTAATCCTGACTCTGCATGAACTCTGCCTGTCCTGACCTCGGCTATTCCTGACTACACTTCCGCCTGCTCCTTGTACCTTGCCTGCCCGTTTGCTACCAACCCAGCCTGCCCGATTACGTTTAGTATTGTTCTTATTGTTATCTGTTGGAGGTTTGGTTGCACTGTGTTTATGTTTAGTCTTGCACTGCATTTATGTACTGTTTAGTCTTTAATAAATTGTATTGTTTATACTATACCTGGAGCCTGTGTTTCCCTGTGTCAGTCCACACATGGTCACATCCGGATCCCTAACACCACCATATGCCAGAGTTCTTACACAAACTCATAAACAATTCAATCTGTATGGGAGTGTGGTCAGAGATCCCCCTGATAAATAAATGGCATCTGTAATCAAGGGTAGTACACACGAATTGGCGAATGCCAAATCAATGCAGGAGAAGGAGGCCCATACATGAGAAAGATAGGAGTAACCCCGTTCAGATGGGTGCTCCCAGAGCCACAACTCTACCAAGGCCGCAGAGTCCGCCCATTGTTGAAGTTCCAGGTTCTACGATCTAGTAGGATAGGAAGTATCTAATGCATAGTCTAGGATGGTGTTAAAGTCACCTGCAACAATTTCAAGTGCATAAAGGTGGCAACTTTCGCAAGAACTGCATAGAGTACCATGCTGTGGAAGGGGGCAGATCATATAGGTGTACCACTGCCAGCAATTAGGAGTCAATGTTAAGAACAACAATCACAAAACACCCCTGGGGATCCTTGACCACATGCTCTATAGTACAAATTAACTTCTTATGTTATAGTATAACTACTCCTCTAGCATAAAAGGAATAGGTGGAGTGTATGGCTCTCTGATCCAATTTCTGTTGAGGGAGAGTGTTCTATCACCAACCAGATGTGACTCCTGAAGGAGCACAATATGAGGGCTTTGAACTTTAAGATACTATAACACCAAGGAATGCTTAAATTTAGAATTCCAGGAGAGAATTTTTAAACTACTCATAAAACCAAGCGTAGAAAGCCATCCCAGGATGTGAGAATGGAAGGAGGGGGCCAGGATATCTACGATACTGAGAGTCACAACACACCAGCCAGGCAGTATAATAACCGTGCATAAAGGTTGAGGCAAGTAAACATTCAAATTTTACATTGAAATCTATGGGTGTTGTGCAGCACAAGAATCGCCCAGGAGTAGTGCAAGAGCTATTTCTTTGGACTGTACCCATTAAAATCAATGTGTTTGCACTTGATATGCAACTTTACATGTTGTCAGAATGTCGCAGGATGCTGGAAAATCACTCTAGTGTGAACCAGAGCTAAAAGAATTGTAGAGAATACAGAGTTCTCTTGCCTCACAAAAACATTCCCTTTATACTTCATAATCAAAACTGCTAACATCGGTTGTTATCTACACCTCTAAATAGCGTTTACACTAAAAAGGATGTCTTATGGTTATGCTGAGATTGCTCCTGGTACCACCTGTGGATTTGTGCCACACTGCCCTTATTCCATTTTGCCCAGAGAAATGTGCTCCTCCCTCTGCATAATAAAAAAAAAAATGCTACAGACTAATGGCTAATGGTGTATACCTTCTGGTTTTTAAAGGATTGGAAGGAAGAGATAAGAAAGTAGGTGTTTAACCGGTTGCCACCCTGCCACTGTATATATACGGGTTCCACGCTCCCGATGTTTTCGCCGGCAGGGGGCGCGCACACACGCTCCCACCAACCCATGGGTGACACCATTCGATCCCGGAGGGATCAATCATTAGATTTCAGCCAGTGATGTCTGGCTGAAATCAGATGATCGGTCCCTGTCCTTTCCTGTCCTGACATTTACACAGGACAGGATATGATGTCATTCTTCTCTGCCTGGACACATTCTGTTCCAGACAGAGAAGAAGACATACAAAAAGTGAGTACAAAGCACCACACTAACAGTTAGAACCCACCTAGGTCACATTTAACCCCCTGATCGCCCCCCCCCCCAGTTAACCCCTTCACTGCCCTGTCAGTGTCACTGATCAGTGAATCGATTTTTACTGATCACTGTATCAGTGTCGCTGGCGACTTCCAATAGGGTTAGCGCCCCTCCCAGATAGCGCCAGATTGCCCGCCCGTACACCATTAATCCCGTTTAACCCCTTGATCCCCCCCCCCCGTTAACCCATTCACTGCCCTGTCACCAGTGTCACTGATCAGTGAACCGATTTTTACTGATCACTGTATCAGTGTCGCTGGCGACTTCCGATAGGGTTAGCGCCCCTCCCAGATAGCGCCAGATTGCCCGCCCGTACACCATTAATCCCATTTAACCCCTTGATCTCCCCCCCCCCCGTTAACCCCTTCACTGCCCTGTCACCAGTGTGTCACTGAACCGATTTTTACTGATCACTGTATCAGTGTCGCTGGCGACTTCCGATAGGGTTAGCGCCCCTCCCCAATAGCGCCAGATTGCCCGCCCGTACACCAGTAATCCCGTTTAACCCCTTGATCCCCCCCCCCCCCCCCCCCCCCCCGTTAACCCCTTCACTGCCCTGTCACCAGTGTCACTGATCAGTGAACCGATTTTTACTGATCACTGTATCAGTGTCACTGGCGACTTCCGATAGGGTTAGCGCCCATCCCAGATAGCGCCAATTTGCCCGCTAGTACACCAGTAATCCCATTTAACCCCTTAATCTCTTCCCCCCCCAGTTAACCCCTTCACTGCCCTGTCACCAGTGTCACTGATCAGTGAACCAATTTTTACTGATCACTGTATCAGTGTCGCTGGCGACTTCCGATAGTGTTAGCGCCCCTCCCAGATAGCGCCAGTTTGCCCGTTAGTACACCAGTAATCCCATTTAACCCCTTGATCGCCCCCCCCCCCCAGCTAACCCCTTCACTGCCCTGTCACCAGTGTCATTGATTACAGTGAACAGATTTTTACTGATCACTGTATTAGTGTCACTGGTGACTTCCGATAGTGTTAGCGCCCCTCCCATATAGCGCCAGTTTGCCCGCTAATGCACGGGATTTTTTTTTACCAAAAACATGTAGCAGAATACATTGTGGCTTAAATTTATGACTAACTTTGAGTTTACGATATATTTTTATAGCTGAAAGTAGAAAATATAGTTTTTTTTCAAAATTTTTGTGTTTTTTTTTGTTTATAGCGCAAAAAAATAAAAAGCGCACAGGTGATAAAATACTACCAAAAGAAAGCTCTATTTGTGTGAAAAAAAGGCCGTAAATTTAGTTTGGGTACAGCATTGCATGACTGCGCAATTATCATTTGAATTAGTGCAGCGCCAAACAGCAAAAAAAGGCCTGGTCATTAAGGGGGGTAAATCCTCAGGAGCTCAAGTGGTTAAACAGGACCTGAAGATACTGTACATCCATTAGACCAATTGCTCTATTCTACGTGGAGGTAAAGTTTCAAAGCATGCAATACTTTAATGACACTTACAACCTCTTTTAACAAACAACCCAACTGCCTGTTTGGTATACATTTTAACCCCTTCCAGCCCATACTGACATCCCTTTAAAAAGTTTCTGAACACTCAAGGGGCAAAAGTTGGTAGGTGCCAAAAGGTGGTTTAGTCCAGTTTGAGTTCTGGCGGTCTACGTTGAATGCTCCTTCAGCAAAAAAACATCAACCACCCAGTGATGTCTATGTGGAACATGCGTGCATTAAAGCTCACCCTTTTAGTTCCTCACATACTGTATGTGTTGCATGGTTAATCTTCCTTAAAGGCTATGGATACTTTCAAATGTTTTTGTAGTTTTAACTACTGTATATATAAGTGCAGTTGTAATCCCTGTGTAGTTTTCCTTACCTTGTAATAATCAGCTCACGGGTTGTGGCTGTAGTTTGTAGTGTCAAGGTAGATTGATTCCCCTATGGCCAAGTAATAATCCACCTAACTCGCCCCTATTCAAAAGAGGGGCAACCAACTTCTTGTTTCAGTTCACACAGTACTTTTTGTTTCTCTGAGTTGCATCACAAATGTCTGCGTGCTAATGTGAACAATACACATCTTTTCCAGCATGGTAATTGTTCTCACCTAAAAAGCACTATACTGAGAGACCCAGAGATTGTGGGAGATGTCGGTGGAAGTGTTCATTCATGCACTAACCTGTGCAGTTC